GGGGGGGGGGGGGGGGGGGCGACTGCAGAGTTTGCTTTTGGCAACAACCAGCAATCACTCTGTAACCTTTTCCCTCTTTCCCCCTCTTTTGATCACCTTGTGCATCACTTCCTCGCATACCTTCTCCTCTCTCTCGGACACTGCTTCCATCCCCTCTCTTTTTTTGGCTTCCCCCATCCACTCTCCTTCATCTCTTCTCTCCCTCTCCTCCTTGATGACTGCCTCCTCTTTCTGTTCCTCCCTCTCTCCCTCCTCCTGGGACTCAGAGTAATTCCATTATCAGCTATAAGCCTCAGTGGGGGTAAACACTGAGGGAGATGCAGCTTTGACGGTTCGGCTTGTGGCAATTAAACAAAGCCGAGGCCCCTGCACCCAGCAGGCGATAAGGCAGGGATTTAGTCTCCGATTATGACAGGAGCTAAATGTCTTCAATTCAGAGAACTAGCATACTACGTACTTAGCATGCGTCATTCAGCAGGAGCTGAGTCATGGCGTCCTCAAAGTCAACGGACTTAGTGTCTTCCAAGATGATTTTTTTAATGGTGTTTTGGGGTTTTATTCGATACTTCAGAGCACTCAGCAATGTCGAAAGATGGTTATAGAGATGAGACTGTGTGTGATAAACTACCGGGACACCAGAACAGTTAAGTACCTGGAATGGACGACGATGTTTAAGCTAAATCATTGAAGTTGACTTTATTAATTGCTCACAAGATAAGAGCAAATGTTCATCTAAAATCTATAGTGAAATGACAAGGATTTAAGCAGACTGCAAGCAGAGACAGTTTGTTAACGTGCGCGCATATATTGAGATTGAAACTCGCGGCTAAAGTATCACTTGCCGTTCATTCGGGATGGCAGCTTACTGATGAAAAATGGCTTTTGGCTGAGAGAAATTATGTCCTTACACTGTCTGAGGACAAAAGAGATCCAACATACAATTGAATTTCTTTGACAGCAGTGTCACGGCAAATGTCATTCCCTTGCTTTTAAGTACATTAGTGTTTTTTGGGATCAGCTGTTTTTGAGAACAGAGCAAAAACAGAAAAGCGGCAGAACAAAAATAAAATGCTGCACACGTTCCCATGCCAACTGATGGTGGATGAGGTTTTTTTTTTTTTAGAAAGTTGACTAAAACTACAGGCCTAGATGCAAGTTTGTGACATCATTGTCTGCAATTTTATTTTTCACCCACCTCC